ATTCTTTCCTATACCCATACTTCACTGAAGATAACATCGCCATTTTCTCACTTTTTTCCATGTCATTCCAGCACACAATCAGACCCAGAACCAATACGGATATTGACACTCCCACCCTTGAAAAATTAAAATCACCAGAATGAACACCGACATTGACACGCCTGTCCCCAAAAAAAAAGAACATCCCTAGGAGAAACCATCAGTGGATTTTTTGGGAAATATTACCTTCTAAAGTACAAGGAAAAGCATTGCAAATTACCTTAGATTCGTGATGGAGTATCATATTACCTTCTTCTTGAACAGATATCAACTTATCATCGGTAAACATTCTCGCAATATCACCATATACCTCATCAGTCTGTATCTTTCTCTCGTTATCAATATCACAGCAATATAATGAATCCTCCAAACTCTTCTCCAACTCAGCATTGTCATACCACTCTCTCGCAGCAAGCATAGCATTGCTGCAATCTTTGTAACCAAACAAACCAAGACTTATGTCCCAATCATTTTAGGTCGGCTATATGAGTCCGTCTTCGCCATTCATTTCGATCATGTGCTATACACTCATTTAAGTTAAATATTTTTTTATTATTTTTTTCAATGTTAATTTAGGTTTACCCTTACTTTTAGTACTATTAAGAGAAATTCTATAACTTTTTGAACCAGTGCCTGAGCTACTCCTACCATTTATCTAATAGGATTATTTCGATGCTTTCTAGTTTTTTCACACATCTACCATAACATTCTCATTTCCGCTACTCATTTTGTCACTATGTTGTTTTCCAGTAACCCAATATTTTGTCCCATACAACATTGCTATCCTTATAGTTGTTGATAAAACTTATCTTTCAATTTTATTGGTATCTTTCTATCACCTAATATGCCTGAGGTTTTTCTCCACTTAAGCCAACTGGCGTTAATTCTATGAGTTACATCATCTCCAATCTCTTCATCATTTTTAATGATCAATCCTAGAATATTTAAATCTTTATTCATTGGTATTTCTTGATTTTCAATCTTAACTTTTTCACTATCTACTTCTTCTATTATTAAAATTGCATTGCATATATTCAGTTTTACTCATACTTATTTTAAACCCTTTAGACTCGAATATCTCTCCAAATTTTTAGCTTATTGTTAATCCCCCTTCGAGTTTCATCTACTAATACAATATCATCTGTAAATACTATATGTCGTGGGACATCATCTTGAATGGGCCTAGTGAGGTAGGTATGGACTTAGGGCCAATCCTTGGTGTAATCCCACCGTGATTGGAAATTTTTTACTTTCTCTTACGGAAGATCTAATTGTAGTTATAACTCCGTCATACATATCCTTTATCACCTCAATATATCTATTCATTACTCTTTTTTTCTCAAGCACCCTACATATTATATTTCTAGACACTTTATCATACCCCTTTTCTAAATCTATAAATACCATATGGAGATTTTTCTTCTTCTCTCTATTTTTCTGAGTGTTCTCAATAAATATATAGCTTCTGTAATTGATCTATTAGGCATAAACCCAAACTGATTTTCGAGACTGTAGTCTCAACTCTTAGGCGACGTTCAATGACCATTTTTCATAGTTTCATTGTATGACTTATCAATTTTATCCCTCTATATTTATTACAATTTTGAATATCTCTTTTATTTTTATAGATAGGTACTAAAATACTCTTTCTCCATTCATTAGGCATTTTTTTAGTACCAATAATTCTATTGAATAATTTCGTTAGCCACAACACCCCATCATTCCCTAAGCACTTCCAAACTTCAATTGGAATCTCATCCGGTCCTAAAGCTTTGCCTAATTTCATTTTCTTCAATGCAAATTCTACTTCCGAATTCTTTATCTTACAAAAGAATGTTTCATGAATCCTACCATTTTCTATCTCTTCTAAGTTTCCTAAGTGATTTTTATTTAATAGTTTCTTAAAGTAGCCTTTCGCCTTTGAGTCTTCACCATTGATGCACTTAATTTGGTTAAAGTCTTTTGTTTTCCTTTCTCTAATTTTAGCTAGTTTATAAATGTCTTTTTCTCCCTTTTTACTATCTAGTTTTTTTGTACAATTCATCGTAAGCTTTTAAACTTAGCATATCGAACTATCTTTTTTACTTCCTTATTTGCTAATTTATATCTTTAGAAGTTCTTGCAGCAAACTTCTTCATCTTTTGAAATCAAATGTATGTGTCTCTGTCCATCCATAATGTCGAAACGGACCTCAAAATCTTCCCACTAGCTTTGCCAACCATCGCAGATCTCCTCTCCAACTATAGCCCCTTTTTCACTACTTCCTTTGCCCATTGTCAACTCTGCCTTGGCTAAGGAGATCCTATCAGAAGCTCCAATCCCCCCTTTGCTCGACGATTAGCTTCAATGACCTTAACCATCAGTTTTCGACTTTGAGGAGAGCCTTTGTTTTGTCTATGGAGAGACCCCCTTTTGCCTGTGTGAGAAAGCCCTATCATTCGAGCTCTCCCCAACAAACAAATGTTTGTGGACCAGGCCTCTACAATTCTGTAAAACCCTCTTAAATTAAAACGGCCCACCTTACCAAGCCCATTAGTAAAAACATTTGTTTCCAGCCCATTTGTTTCTTTATCTCAGCCCACCTTTCTTCCTTAACAAAACCCTTCGTGATCCATCTCCTCTGCCTTATCCTTAATTAACTCAGATTTTGAATTCAAATTACGGTCCATATTTGAATTATCCTTATAAAAATTTTGTTAGAAATCAGCAAGATTAATGGCACTGATCAAGTCATCAGAATTTTTTTCAATCAAACCAAATCTTTGCATTTATTGTGGCCTTGTCTTTCTCCTGTTGACACGTAATCCCCCTTTGTTTGCAGCTCATTTTTGGCCGATTGATTTTCCAATATGCTAGTTTCAACAACTCTCATCTTCAACCTTTCACCCAATGCACAAAATCTCCGTACTACCTTCGCCTTGTAGTATTCCTTTCTCCTTTCGACTGAACATTCTTGTTTTCTTCAACATTCGTAGAAAAAAAATGTCTCTGTCTACTTGGAAAGGCTGTAGATGAATCTTTATTTTTAAAGTTTGTACTAAGCATGCCTGGGAGTACACAAACGAACTTGCTTTAACACATACCACAACACACCTCCATTTAACCTCTTCTTTAAGCATATTTTCATACCCTTAACATTTGCAGGAGTATTTTCCTTATGCATCTCAGCCCATGCCCCATTTCCTTGCTCTTTGACTCTACATTTTGATACCACCATCAGACTTTGATTTTCTTCTTCTTGTATCAGAGTATTCCTTCCACCTGAAAGAGCATCCCCATTAATCCTCTAAACCCTTTCCATCCAATGCCTTGGGAGCCTTGGGGAATAATCAAACCCTTTCTTTTACCATTATTCATCATTTGTGTAATCCTGGCAAACTCCCCAAACCTGCTATTTTCCAATTCCATCCACATACAATATTCATCCCTCCTAAACTTTCTAAGGAAAATATCTTGTCGATTCTTGGATAAAGCTTTAGAAAACATCTCCTTCAACCATCTCACACAACTTCTATTCACTAAGCATGAGAAATATCCAAACCGATTCCATTCCGTTATGCGAATAAGTTCACCATGCAAACCTTCAAACTTGACTTTAAAATGCTTATGATCAATCGTAATCTCCATCCTCTTTCTTTCTTGATTCTCACAATTTCAACAATGTTGGTTGTGGATTATAAAGGTTTTGGAAAGGGAAGTAAAGGAAGTACTGTTTGGGGATGTGCTTTCTATGCAATAATTTGGGTGATTTGGTTGGGGAGAAATTCAAGAATCTTTGAAGATAAGTATGAAGAGTTTGATGGGGTTTGGAACCGAATTCACTCTTTTGCAACTCTTTTTTGTGCTTTGGTTTCAAAGGAATTTGCAAATATTCCACTTTTTGAAATCTTGGTGAAATGGAAGGTGGTTTGTGATTGATTAGCTTGTTTTCTTGGTTTGGTTTTTTTTTTTACCTTTTTATGTACTGCTTTTCGATGATTTGTATTTAGGTTGGACTACTTACCTATCTCTGCTCTTCATTTTTTTACTTTTAATAAAATGGTGTTTTCTATAAAAATAAAGAGGAGGGGATTTTACATTTTTGCTTTGCTGATGATACAACAAAACTTCTCAAGATTTTCCATAACACAATCGATATTGCTCCAAGCCCCCACCAGCTCTAGTTGCAAACACAACAGTCCAGCCCCTCAGCCAAACCATGTCTGCCTACTGCCTCCCCCTTCCTCGGGGGGTGGGCAACATATCAAACATAGCCTACCCCATGCAACCATTACCCTCAAATTCACCATGTGCATGAATGTATCGGAACTTACCCTCAACGAACAGATGGGAGCAACATTGCTATAATGTCGTAGCAACGCACGTCACACACAGTAGGGTTCCATTCTGGTTTGTCTCTCTTCCCTGCTATATAATATACCATGCATGAATAGTCAGAAAGGTTGGAGATATGTGAATATGGAGAGAGAGACGTGAATGAGTGGAAAGTTGAACAGTCGGAAACCTGGAGGTTACATGAGAAGTGGGAGTTATCAGTTAGTTTAAATATAGACTTGTCCTTATCTTGAGAAAAAACGATTAAATGACGTAAAAAAGGGTGGAAGGACCAATCATAAGAAGCCAAGTAAGCATTTTCATGGCTAAAAAACTCAAAAATTCAAAAATTTGGAATGAAAGATTGGAGACTTCTCAACACTACTACATTTAAATAGAATATAGAGATTCAGTTAATAGAAATCATGTTACTTACCGGGAAAAAATACTGCATATCATTTTTACTTGCCAAAAGTTTACTTGTTATGTTTTGAAGTAAAATGTATTGTTTTCTTTGCAGAACCATTCTGGGTATGTGGCAAAATATAGTTGCTAAAAGGGCTGCTCTTACTCCAAGCCAAACCAAGGACTTGGTGAAGAGCATGGTGGAAATCCCAGTGAGGAGAAAATTTTCTGTGCGAGCAATTGTTGTCGCCCTCGCACTCTTTGGACATGGATATGCTGGGGCACAACTCCTGCCAGAATTTTTGCCTGGGCATTCTTCCCTTGCTTCTAAGGAGAGAATTTTGAAGGGACTCGACTGGCTCAAAACCTGAAACAAGGATTCTGTGGAGCTTGCGTTACGTAAGGAAGCTGAAAAGCAAGTCAATGCTTGCACATTAACAGCTTTAGGTAAACTCAAAACTGAGATAAACATACTGAGAAGTGTGCTGATGGACAAGTCAACAGATCTGCTAGATGTGTACGAGGGAATGGCGAAACTTAGGAAGCAAATTCTGGATATGGAAGCTGAAGAGGATAAAAGCTGAAAATATCTTTGTTGTTTCTTTTGAACTACTATAATTTCAGTATAATGCAAACATGCTTTGGAAAATTCTCTCTTTTTGATATGTACTTTTGCTTAACTTGACTGCTTGGAAAATTCTCTCTTTTGATATGTACTTATGACTGCTTATGTAATATTCTCTCTCCCCCTTTTTTGCTAAATTCTGTGTGTATTCATGAAGATCAGTTACAAAAATATTATAATTTGGGGTAACATTTTTTGGATGATCTGATGTGAATATGCCCAATTTGGGGTTGTAAGATACAAGAGCATGGAATGCATAGGACAACTTTGATCGTGGTAATTGTGTTTCTATACAACAAGAACTACATTATTTATTAAAATCCTACCGTAGAGGTGGGTCGAGGTGGGTCTGGTGACAAACCACTTCGACACAGAGACATGGGGAGCTAGACATTTGTTTGTCTCCAACCGCTATCAATGTAATGAGAAGTTCAAGGGGGATAAATCAGAAAATAATGCTGGAATTAATCAAAAGCATTACCAAACATGTTTCTCATATGCCTATTCACTTCGGTGCGCACAATTTGCTACAATTCTGACTTACGCTTAATTGGACATCCACATGACTATTCCTTCACTGAAACATCATACATAGCATGAGAAATTGAACTATGTAAACATAACTCAAATTGGAAAGTGAAGATGCCACTCTTTCCTCTAGAAAGAATGCTTGCTCTTGGTGAAACCAAGTAAAAAAATAAGTTGCAGCATCCTGTCTGATATTGGACCAACATATCAGACACGATGCCACACATTTTGAAACTAGGATGACAATCGTGTTCGTTTTTATCCGTATAACTTGTGAATAAAAAATTTAATGCTTAGTTTTATATCTTAAATTTCATTATAATTTAATTGTACCTATGCTTATATTTTTTTAATAAATTAAAAATTAACTTAATAAATATAATATTAAAAATCAATAAACATATCTTTTTTTTGCATAAAAATTAGTTCACTACTTGATAAAATATAATAAAAAATGTATTTTATTATTATAATAATACTTAAACATGTTAATCGTGTCAGTTTCGTGTTGTTCGTATTTGATATTATTCAAACCCATTTATTATTCGCGTGAACGAGTTGTGTCATATGTGGGTTCGTATTGCGAAATGATCAATCCTAACCTTACTAATTTCATGTCGATTTCAAGTCATGTTTTCATGGTTGTGTTAGAAATTACCACTCTTATTTGAAACACAGGCATATTTCTTATTGCCGCAAATTCTTCACCGGCTTCTTTCTCCACGTTAAATGTTCTTGCCATGGTTTCATATGCTTGATACACATTTGAAAGCCTTTTCGTCTCTTATTACTTGGAGTTGAGATATATAGTAGTTCGATCCGGATAACCTACTCCACTTCGAGAAACGGCTACGGTAGCCGGTGAACCTTTATTGATGGAATAAAGTAAGAGAGAGGGAGAGACAAGGCTAGTTCCAAGAGTGGCACAATAACTAGCAGAGAGAAAGTGTGTAGAGAAGTGTGGTGAGATCACTGTCGACGAGTAAGGCAGTTAAGGGGATCGTAGACAGAATCAGGTGTTTAGGCTAATTCGGTGAAGCCTTGGGCAACACCTCGACAAATCCAAGTGAAGCCTGAGGCGACGCCATGGTGAAGCCAAGGGCGACGCTCAAGGATCCTTATGGCAATGCCAGAGGAGGAAATGAAGGCGACGCCTAGCGTGCCCTAGGCAACGCCCATGGGGGTGGAGAGGTTGGCGGCACCCATGGCATGTTTGGAGGCTACTTCGGCAAAGGAGGTGAACAGCACGTGGGAGGTGGTGATGCCGACTAGGCGCTGGGTAGAGCGACACCAATCACAGGCGACGACAAAAAAGGTTAGCAAGCGACGCTTATGGTGTAGAAGGGTCTTTTGGCGACGCCTTGCAAGCGCAGGGACATTGGCGACAGTGGATTGGGCGACGCCCCTAAGTAGCTGGGTGACACCTGAGGTGCTGGGCAGCTGCTAGAGTGAGGTGGGACAAGAGCGAGCTAGGGCGGCGCCCAGGAGGCTGCTGGGTAATGCCAGGAGCAGTGTTAGGTTATGTGACGCCTTGCAAGCGCTGGGCGTTGGCCGGAGTATTAGAAAACTATGAAAAAGGGCAAAACTTTGCATGACTGTAACTTTGCGCTCGATTATCCATTTGAGGTGAATTTTTTGTTGAATCTATGTATTTTTTCGAGATCTATGACATGATAATTGCCAAAGGCAATTTGGTCAAAAAAGTTTCTCAAAAAATGCTTCTATCTCTCTGAATTTGAGTATTAAGCATAAATTAGTGAAACCGACAGTGGTGAAAAGTTACGTTCTGGCAGACGACTGTCAGGCATTCATGGGCAACAGATTGACATTTTGGATTTTTACCAGGTAGAGATACTATGATGGCTTTCGACTGGGTAAGAGGCAAACCCGCTTTCTCCAATCTTGTTTTTTTTTTTTTTATGTTTTCTCGATGTTGGTTTATTATACTGACCTTGTCTCTAATTACAGGTGCCCTGTTGATAGGGCGATGGTGGAGGTTTTCTATACTTTTAGGGTGGTGTCTGCCCCTCCTCCCAAGAGGGTGAGGTTTGATGCCTCCAGTATTTCTCAGTCAAGGTTGCTTCCCAAGAGATAGGACCCGGTGTTGCTCCCACTCCTTCTCAGATTGTGACTCCTGTGTGTACCAGAGCTAGCCCTTGTACCATTGTAATAGTTGAGACTTCAGTGCGATCTTCTACGGGGATTGTAGCTCCATATAGTTGTTCTGCTTTTAGTAGTGGCTCGGTGTCCATGCTTTGACTTGACTTTGGTCAAGGATCGACTTTGGAGGTCTGTGACACCCGGGGATATCAGAGAGATCTCGAGGTCTAAGGTATGCCTCTCTTCTCAACTTTGATTTTGTACTCACCTCCTTTCCTACATGTTCTGCTTTTTGAATGCTTGTAGGAGGCTGCAACTTTTCCCTACCTTTTTCAAGGATGATCAAGCTTGGAAAGACATTCAAGCATCTAGTAACAGAGAGGTAGGCATAGGGAGTTGCTGAGAGTAGTTAAGGTTGGCTCATGAGAGAGTAACACCTCTCGAGGCTGAGCTTTTGGCGTCTAGCGAAAGAGTGCGAAACTGGATACATAGACTGCTTGGGAGTAGAGGTAGATTCAGGCCGAACTTCTTGACGACTTGCGAGAGAGTATGAAGCTGGATACATAGGCTGCTTAGAAGAGTTAGGATTAGGTCAAGCTTCTTGGCGACTCGTGAGAGAGTGCGAAGCTGAATATATAAACTGCTTGAGAGCAGAAATAGGATTAGGCCGAGCTTTTTGACGACTTGCGAGAGAGCGCGAAGCTAGAGATTAATAAGGTGACTGTCTATACAAGAACATAGTCAAAGCTGCGAGCACCCCATGAGAGGGCCACCAGAGCTAAGTCCGAGCTATGTATAACTTGGGAGAGGGTTGTCGTGGCAGAGGATCATTCCATTGAGATAGAGATGAGAAGGGAGGCTGATAAAAGGGCCACTGCAAACGCCTTTACTGATGGGTTATGAAGGGGTTGAGAGCTTTCCCTGCTATTGATTTCTTTGGTTTTGTCCCCTATGAGGCACTAGCAATAATTGGTGATGGGGAGAGTCTTAATGATAATGGTTGTGGCTCGGGGAGCAGTGACTGGTCGTCAGAAGTATGATGATTGTTGTCCTGATCGTTGGGAGTACGACAATTGTTGACTTTTTGCCTAATTTGTTGTTAGGTCATGTTCTGACTTTTGTAAGCTATTAACAAACTTTGTGAAATGAAAACAAGACAGTCATAAACACAATAATCTTTGCAAAATTTTATTTCATAAAATAATAAATAACAAAATAAATCAACTAAAACAATAAATGATAGATAAAATCTTCAGGTGTTCGGTGTCCCATAAGTGGGCCTAGGCTCTCCCATTTTTAGTGTGCTGTTATACCAAGCACTTCCACCTAGAAGGCCTTTTGGGGTTCTTAATTCTCATCGAGGCCACGTAGCATTCTTTGGCAGCAACTTGGTTTCCTCTGACTTCTCTGATCCCACAGAGGGTTGGGAAATGAAGAACAATGTGATAGGCAGACGGCACTGTCCTTAGGGTGTTGAGTGCGGGGAGTCCAAGTATGATATTGTAGGTAGAGAGACAGTCCAATATACTAAAGTTTACCATGATGGTAGAGCTTTTTGGCGCTATCCCTACAGTGACTGACAAGGTGATGGAACCCAAGGGATAAACCCTCTCCCCTGAGAATCCAACAATAGGTGTCCTAATGGGTTGCAATCTCTCCCTACCGAGGTAGAGGCTATCATAGGCTAGTGTGAACAAGATATCGGTTGAACTGTTGTTTTCGACCAAAATTCTCTTAACCTGGTAGTTGGCTACCATCATGGTTAAGACGAGGGGATCATCTTGAGGGAGCTGGATTCCCTTGTCGGGGGTGTCTTTGTCAGGCGAGATTCATGCGTCTTTGACTGTCTGGCTTTCTTGGCAAAGTTAGAGTCGCCTCCTCCTCCTACCCTCCAGAGATTGTCTGGATTTCTCCAAAGGGTTACTGGCGTTCTCTGTCACCCTAGTCCCGCCCAGGTGATGGGATTTGTCCTCTACCAGTAACGTACTACCTCAGCTGGCCATGTTGTATGAGCTCTTCGATCTGCCTCTTAAGCTCATAATAGTCATCAATATCGTGACCATGATCGCGATGAAAATGACAATACTTGCTTGGATTTTTACGATTCGGGGTAGACTTCATTTTTTCGGGCCAATGGAGCATGGGGTCATCTTGTATCTTGAACAGGATGTGCTCCACCGAGACGTTGAGTGGCGTGAAGGGTTGCTATTCTCTTTAGGGTATTGGACCAAGATGGTCTTTGACAAAGACTCTGTCGGTTCATTGTCTCTTTCTCTCTGTCTCCCCCTTGTCTTCACTGGTGTCCTTCATTTTCTTTCTTCCTCAAGAAGACTCACCTTGACGGACTTTGGTGACATCCTCGGCGTTTATGTACTTTTATGCCCATGACAGCAGCTTGGGCATGCTGGAGGGCGACTTCTTGATGATGGAGAACATGAAGGTAAAGGAGCATAGACCAGCAATAAAGGCGGTCAGAGCTACCTTATCGTCTGGCTCCTCGATCTGGAGAGCTTTCTCGTTGAAACGAGTGAAGTAGCTCCTAAGGCTTTTCATCCCATTGCTTGATGGTGAGCAGGTGGGTAACAGGCTTCTGATGTCGATGTTCTCCAATGAAGTGGGAGACGAAAGATTTACTCAGCTCCGCGAAAGAGTGGATGGAAGAGGGTTTGATCTTCACGAACCATTGTCAAGTAGACCCCTTCAAGGTGGTGGAGAAGGCTCTACACATGATCTCATCAGACACGTTGTGGAGTTTCATGAAAGACTTATAGATGTCAAAATGATCCAGGGGGTCCTTAGTACTGTCGAAAATCTCGATGGCAGGCATCTTAAACTTCAAGGGTGGGAGATACTTGACGATGTCTGTAACAAACGGGGTATTAGTGTGCCTTACCAGGTAATTCACCATTTTGGAGGCTTCTGCCTTGATGGCGTTGAGGGTGTCACCGAGTTAGTTTTGCACCTCTCTAAGTTTCTTGTCCCATTGGTTAGAGACATCCTCTGTCGGGTTGTTGTAATGGCTTCCATGATCGGCATACTAGCTTTCTCCTTCATCCTCCTGCACAGATACATGAGGAGGGAGAATATGCGAGTTTCCTTCGCACTGAGGAGGAACTACTAGGTGAGGGGCCCCATGGTGGGGGGTTGCTTGATGCCCAGAGTGGATAGGTTATTATGCTTCTCCTGTTGGAGGGAATGGTATTCCTCTTACGGGCTGAGGGGCCACACCTCCCTTGGCGAGCATCAACTAAATGATTTGTTGGTTCTGCTTTACCAGTAGCTGCATAATCTTTAGAAGCTATTGTCCGACGACAGGAGTCGTTATAGCAGATGGTTCCGAGGGTGTGAAGGGAGGCGGAGCCTCCTCCTGGGGGGCCGTGTTGTTGTCTCCCGGTTGTTGACTTATCGACCTGGTCGTGATTACCATGAAGTAGTAAGGTCGTAGAAAACTTAGTCGATTCCCACAGATGGTGCCAAACTGTTGTTACACAAAACTGTCTCGTGTAAGATCAACAGTCGAGTATGTGATAAAGTATAATTAATGGACAATTAATAAAGTAATCAATGGCAAAAAAATAAATATTGGGTCAACACACAGATATATAGTGGTTCGATCCGAATGACTTATTCCACTCCAAAAAACGGCTACGGTGGCCGGTGAACCTTTATTGATGAAATAAAGTAAGAGAGAGGGAGAGACAAGGCTAGCTCCAGAAGTGATACAATAGCTAGGAGAGAGAAAGTGTGTAGAGAGGTGTGGTGAGATCATTGTGTCCTCTCATGTAGAGAGGACTTACAATTTATAGGCACAGAAACTTGGTTGAGACAGTAACGTGAGGGTGAAGGTACTAGGTCTTCGGAGAGGATTGCTACAAAAGGTAAGTGCAATTAAAGTAGCCTTGATCCTCGAGGGTGTGTATCCCGATGATTTCTTTCTATGTACTCTAATTCTTCTTGGACTCTTCGGACCTTGGGTTGGGTTGAATTCACGAACTAAGCTCGATCTGTCTTTTAGCTTATTTGGGTTAACTTGATTTATTGGGCCTGCCTCAGTTAGATTTGGGCTCATCAGAGGACCTACCTAAGGGTTATCTTTGGAAAACTGTGGTCACTTCTAGCGTCAATATAAAGCTTTATTAGTTTTGTTCAAATGGTCAGAGTGTTCGGTCCAACTTTCACGCATCTCAACTATCTTCCTTGGTGATAGGTAAGTCATCTACGCTGGGATTAGAGTATTCATGAGCGATAAATTCTTTGTGGTCTGGCCTGAATATGATTGTCAAGATTTAAATTCAGAATGTCTAATCAACACATGACACCTACACCTTTATTTGGGCACAAATAAGGTCATCTGTGTTACAGTCGGCATAAAAAGAATTGATTTCCACACGTTTAATGATTTCAATTTTCTTCCTCCACCTTCTTCCTGGAATGTAAATGCCTTCCAACCCACAAGAATAGAAAATATTTCTGGCTCCAATGATACACTTCAAAAAGATAAATACCCTTCATTCCAATCCAGCCATTTTCCCTCTTAACGAACTTCTGAAAAATAATAAATCTAATGAGATAATAAACTTGAACAATTACTATAATTGTTTATCAAGCAACCGTATGCATATCATGACCAGGTATTACTCGCAGAATAATATGTTGCATGGAAAATACCAACCTTTTTCAGCATATGTTCTTCAATTGAATGACAGGAGCTACTATCGTTTCAAGCCTCCAAGAGAGTGTTTTTTTTTTTGCGTACACTGTGTGGTAGATAAGTGACTGAATAATGTCATTTTAGTGCTGCCGTGTTGCAATTTAGATAGTTGGCTTCTTGGAATCCTCATAAAATGCAAGCTTGGGTTTTGAAGAGATAGTTGTAGGGGTGTCCATTTGTCGGTATACAAAAGCAACGCACTCAACCATTTTTACTCTATCTTTTTCTTCAGCAAGTCTGCACCAGTTCAATGTTGTGGCATGAGTGCGATGCTGTTGTGAATCAAAATTTGAAGACAAAATTTCAATTTAAATTTTGACATCAAAATGAAATCGAAATCGGAACACCACTGTTGGTGCCACTGCCAAAGACCTCTCTGCATTGTAACTGCGCCTCCATCGCCGTTACTCTATTACCACTCTTTAATCTTTCTTCTATTCCTTACCAACAACCACCAAACATCCCAAAACCCAAATCACCCATCACCAACACTGGCCACTACCCAACACTAATTCACATAAAATCAAAACAGAAAAATCTAAGACCGATTTGAGTCCAACTCACTTCATTTGAAAAATCAAAATAGAGGTGGTACTGGGCAATGACCAGTTGGAGAAGATGAAAAGGAAGAAAAGAAAAAGTATAGGTGGTTGCTAGTGGATATTGACACTGAGCTGAGGTAAATGAAAGAGATATGAAGAGACGTCCAACGATGGTTAGATATGATGGGCTGGTTGTAGAAAAGAAAAGTGGTAGAAGAAAGGTGAGTGTTTAAACTCATTTTGCATCTCATTATTTAAAGCAACATTTTCAAAAAATAAATGAGTTTGAGAAATATGATTGAAAGTGACCAAATTTAGATTAACATTTTGAGGAGAATGAATTTAATGAAAAACTCACGAATTAATTTATAATATTATTTAAATAATAATATTATAAATATCTAATTTAGAGACTTAATTAGTGACCTAATTCATTGATGTCAAGTAACAAAAATTGAATCAAACGGTCAATTGAGAAAACTTGGAGGTAAAGAAAGTATAGCTTGGTTTCCAAATTTGGGGCAACGGTAATAAAAAAGAAAAAGGAAACAAAATCAGAGATTTAAAACCAATGATCTCGTCAGAGAGACGCAACCAACAACATATATATATATAATCAGAAACTCAGCAGACGACATCGACCTCCTGAGTCCCAATTTACGAACCTCCACCTACGATCTATCTCCGTAAACCCTAAATTCCACCACCAGATGATTTCTCTCTCCTCTCTCCGAAAATATTGAGCATTGTAAAGCAATGGAGTCGATGATCGAACTCTGCGATCTGATCGCACACAATCCTTCGCAATTTGCTGATAAATTGGCTTGGATTTGTGGACTATGTCCACCAATTGACTCTGTACTCGCCACCGCTAGATTTCTTCCTAAATGCCCCAATTTCGACGACATGAGGCCCTAACCGGCAGTCCTAGGGTTTTTTAGGTCGATTCCGTATTCTTTTGCCCAATCTTTTTGGCGACAGTCGTTTGTAAGCGATTCAATTGCTTCGTACGATTTCTTGATTTACATGAATAAAGCCAGTGAGTTGTCCTCGGATTTTGCCATTGGCCGTTGAGGAGTATACGGGAGAGATTGTGATGTCGGCGGTTAACAATGTCAGTGGAGATTTGGGGGTTTCAAGGTTTTCTTGAATGTTCTGTCGCAGAATTTTCCTCCAATTCTTCCTTCCGATGCAAACAAATTAGTGTCCACTGTTCTAGATGGATTTGAAATTTCGGTTCCTAGTTCACCGAGGAGCTAGTTTCGACCACTCCTGAAGCGTCATCGTCTTTTTTGGGTCGATTCCGTATTCTATTGCCCAATCTTTTTTGCCACAGTCGTTTGGAAACGATTCAATCTTTTGATTTCCTGAGTTATGTGAATGAAGCCAGTGAGTTGTCCTCGGATTTTGCCATGGCCGTTGCGGAGTCTACGGGAGAGATTGTGATGTCGGCGATTAACAATGCCGGTGGAGATTTGGGGGTTTTTCTGTCGCAGAATTTTCATCCAATTCTTCTTTCTAATGCAAACAGATTAGTGTCCACTCTTCTAGATCGATTTGAAATTTCGGTTCCTAGTTCACCGAGGGAGCTAGTATTGATAACACCTGAAGCGTCATCGCCTCAGTGTTCGCCACTCAGCGCTAACCATTGTCAATCAAATGAGAGAAACAGTCCAGGAAACGAGGTCAGCAATGCCTCTGGTTCTTCTAGCGGTGACCCTTCAAGGGTTACAGATGAGGCGACCAGTGCATTGTGGTCGAAAGGATTGGTGATGAAAGGGGGCAGCCTTGCGTGGAAGAGCAATGTGTATATATTTGGGGCTGATGTTGGGTTCAATGATGAAGGACGAGGCGGTTCCGCAACGTACAAGCGAGTGGTAGCCTCTTTTGAGGAAGAGCCTGTGGAGAGACTTCAACAACAGGAGATTGCTTTCAAGCTGATTGGGCACATATTGGATAAAGTCCAGATTGATCTTAAGCTTTTGTAACAAATGAGGGCCATCGCAATTCGCAAAGGAGCAACTCCAATCAATGTTGGCTTTCCTAAAGGTAAAATTCATGGGTATCCATCCTTTTGGTTTCGAATTTTATTGATGTCTTGATGAAATAACTATAGAGATGAATGAAAAAATCTGGTTAAAATGTTTGGGTTTTTGGCAGATATGGAAGCGTGACTGGACGGAACAGGGGCAGTTACTGAAAGTTAGAATCAATACAGAGCTGTCGGTTTACCAAGCTGCAGCGGGGTTACAAATCAAGAGTCTTTCATCTGTTGATTTGAATGGGAAGTCATCGAAGAGGTTGTGCATTGTTGATAGAAGCTGTTGAAGCATGTTTATTCTGTGTCTGGCAAAAGTTGAGAATTTGTGATGAGCTCTTCAGCTCATTGCTTGTTGGGATTTCCTAAATTGCTCTCACTCGATGTGGTCAGCTGCTGCATGTCTTGCTCATTCGCTTCAAACCCCTCGTGATAAGTACTGTGCTCGGGTATATTATTTGTTTGCCTCCTACAGCTGGGGCGTATCTTGGTAACATGATTCTGCAATATGTTGCACTTTTTGGATAAACTTTCATTGTAATATATATATTTTTTCAGACAGGCAGAGGCTTGGGGCAGATTTTCTAGGACCTCTACTTCTTGCTGTGGCTGAAATATGTTCAGATTTTGATCCTACTGTATATGTGGAACCTGCACTTTTGAAGCTATTTCGCAATTTGTGGTTCTATGTCACTCTCTTTGGGTTAGCACCTCCAATACAAAAAACTCTATATATGGTAAGTCAGTTTCCCATAATCTGAATAGTGTGGGGAGCATGGGTGCAATTGGTCTTCAATCTGAAAGTGTTATTTTATGAGTCTCTTTTGTCTGTATGTTTGTGCTTTAGTTTTTCTACTAGTCATTATTCAAGGCATAAAACTATTCTGCTGCCAATTACCTCTTTACAGTATTTTATGTCTTACATTTTTTGTGCCATAACTCAATGTGACAATTACTTGAATTTTTGTGTCAATTACTTGCTTATAGTATTTTATTTCTTAAATTTTTGTGCTATGATTCAATGTGTAATATTGCTTATTGAATGCAGTACCTTAAAGATGGAGGAAAAACCAACCTATTAAAATTTGGAAGGCTCATAAAGCGGCAGTCCAAGAGGTTGGTTTTTCTTTGGGTATTGTGTAGTATTGATTTTGCGGTATGATTTTTTTAGCGTTTTCTTTCTCTTCTTCTCGTGAAGTTCTTAATTATTCTTAATTATCATCCTCGATCTTCATCCTTTGCTTAAGATTTCTTGCAGTTATCGAACTACAAAGGCACTGATGTTAAAACTTGAAGATCCTACACCATATTGCTTTGGATACGAATGAACAATGGCAGTTTTGTTTATGGTAATCCAGGTTTAAGTGACACAACTCTGCACATACTTTTGAAGAGCATACAGGTCAGCTCCTTGCATGTTTACATTTTTATTCTTTTGAATATCTTTGAGTAGATGTTCTATTTTTTATTTTTAAATATTAATAATGTGTTTTCTTAACAATTGTGGTGGTTGTTTGAAAGTTTTCACTGGTAGTAATTATCGTATTTTAGATGATCTTTAAATTTGTAAGTTATGAAAAAAGAACACACTAGTTTTCAGACCCTAATTGACTAGGATGCAAAAATGAACATGTCTTGGTGGCATCTTGCATCACGACACCTCATAAATTCAAAGTAACGCGATGTAGCTAAGGCGTTCGACAAAAGTCCAGACGCTATGTCCTAGGCTCTCGTTGTTATGTTTCTTCAGTTCAAAAGATGTCCGCTAAAGTCGTTTGAAAAACCTCCATAAAGCATATATAAGGGGAGGAGATAGTTGAGGGGCACCAAGGGTCTGGCTAGCCTTGTGCCCCAGGCCTTGGCACCGTTAGGCAAAATATAAGTGTGTCTATGTTTCTTAGGTGTATTAGTATATGAGTGTGTTTCTTTGGTGTATGAGTGTGGGTGGACGGAGCATATGTTTTGTTTTTTTTGGGGGTATATTAGTGTGTATTAACACGGTGTGTGGGTGTGCATACATATGCTGATTAGCTGGGTTGTGTGTGTGTTTTGGTTTAGGTGAAACCGAGAAGGATTCTCTTCTGTTGCTTTGGCTTCTTTCGAGAAAGGAAAAAGTCTCAGCTCAGCAACTGATTGTGGATTTTCCTTTTCTTTTGCGGCATCCCTGCAACCTTCTTTCTTTTTGATCTTCTTATACTACCCCCTTTTTTGATCTATTGCGTCGACCTTTGCTTTCGGTTCCGGATCAGCCCTTTTGTCTGACTCTTTTCCTTATACCAAAAAAAATATCATAAAACTATGAAAAATACTGGGAAACATTAATTTTATTATTTTATGATATGTTATTCTTAATGTTCCCCGGTATTTTTCATAGTTTTATGATATATTTTTTTGTATATTAATGAATTTTTTTATTAATGTGTGTTTTTTAGTGTATTAGTGTCTGTGTGCATTTGCGTTCGTGTAATAACGTGTGTTTATTGTATATTAGTGTCTGTGTTTTTGGTGGATTAGCTTGTGTTAACACTACTTGTGATGGAATGTATGCATTTTTGTGATTTTAGATGGTGTATTAGTGTGTGGGTGTATGTTGTGTTTGTGTTTGTGTAATAGTGTGTTTTGGTATGTTGGTGTCTATGTTTTTTGATGTATTATGTGTATATTTTGGTGTATAAGTGTTTGTTAACACAACGTGCGTGGGTGTGTATTTATTAGTTTGTTTTTGTTTTAGTGGTGGTGTGCGCATATGCGTGTATTTGTGTAATAGTGTATGTACGTGTGTGTGCGTCTTTGGTGTGTTAGTGTGTATTTTTTTGGTGTATTAGTGTTTGTATTTAAGAGGACGGTGTGTTTTCATTAGTGTAAGTGTATTCTTTTAATCAATGTGTTATTGTGTGCGTTTTTATGTGCACAATGTGTATTTATTTTTATCAGTTATTTTTGGTGTATAGGTTTTTATGTTTATTGCGTGTGGTTGTTGGCGTGTATGATATCTTTCTTATCTCGAGTGTTTTTGTGTTTTGATGTGTATAACGTGTTTGTGTGTGTGGTTATTACTCTATTTTTTTTATGTTATCGAAGTGTTTGTGTATGTGCCTCCTTATGTGTCTGTGTTTTTATTTTTATTATGTGTATCTTTGTTATTATGTGACTATTTTAAAGTTTTTGACTCTTTGGGAGGCTTACAAAGCAATAATCTACCAGTTATGAAGTTATCTTTAGGCAAGTTTTTTGCTGGTGAACATGATGTTGCTTAATTTAAGGTATGATTGTGTAAGTTTTTTCATTCTCTTGTTTTACACTTGTCAAACTATAGTTTGGATAGGAATGACTGATATGAATTGTTGTTAATGATAATGCAAGTTCTAATGAACTTTGGAAGGGGAGGACGATTGCATACATTCATAGGGAATTCAAGTTTGTTTTCTTGCATGTCTACGTGGCTTTCTTTTGCATATATTTTAGTGCATACGGTAGTTTCTATTTAAAATGTAATGATTTTTATTTTTCCTTAGTAATTGTTTGTGGGGGGCGATAGAAATATCATTTGGTCTTTCCCGTAATTGGTCTATTGTTCATCATTTAAGGTATGTGACTCCTATGTTGTCAATTCATTCCTTACAATTTTTTGTTCTTTAAAATTTTTATGCCATTTTACTATTGTGTAACGAGTTTAGATATTCCCTATTTATTGCAGTACATTAAGGCAATGGAAGAGATGCCAACTTGTTGAACTTTGGGAGAGACTTACAAGGCAACAATCTAAGCAATTATGAAGTTCCTCTTAGGTGAGTTTTCTATGGGTGAACATTATTTTTGCTTTTGATTTGAGGTATGATTGTGTAAACTTCTTTCTTACTTCTCTTTTTTTGTCGGTGATAATGCAAGTTCTAGTGATACAATTTTAAAGCTTTGGAAATAGAGGACATGTGTGCATACCTTCGTAGGTCGTACGGGTTCGTTTTCTTGCTTGTTTACGTGACTATTTTCTTTACATATATTTTATTGCGTAAGATAGTTTCTATTTAAAATACTTACAATTTATATTCTTCCTTACTTATTGTTTGTGGGGAGGGGAGGAGATAGAAATATGGTTTGGTCTTTGCTATAATTGGTCGACTTGTCATAATTTAAGGTATGTGGCTCCTCCGTTGCCAACTACTTCCTTACAACTTTTTGTTCCTTAAAATTTTCATACTGTTTAACTATTGTGGCACGAGGTTAGATATACTCTGTTGATTGCAGTACATTAAAACAATTGAGAAAACAATAACTTGTTGAACTTTGGGAGTCTTACAAGACAGCAATCTAAGCAGTGATGAAGTTACCTTTAGGTGAGCTTTTTACTGGTGAACATTATTTTGTTTGATGTGAGGTATGATTGTGTTAGGTTTTTTCTTCTCTTTTTTGTCTTTAACCTTTAAATTCTTAAGTATCTTTTCTATGATCTCAACGACCAACTTATGTTCTTTGGTTTGGATTTCTCATAGTTATCAAACTATATTTTGGATAGAAATGACCGATGTGAATTGTTGTCATTGGTAGTGCAAGTTCTAATGACACAATTTTATGGAAAGAGAGGACTTGTGTGCATACCTTCGTAGGGCATACTGGCTTGTTTTCTTTTCTGTCTACGTGACCATTTCTTTAGCATATACTTTAATGCATATGATAGTTTCTATTTATAATGCTTTTGATATATATTTTTCCTTAGTAATTGTTTGTTTGTTGTTTTGGTTTTTTTGGGGGGGGGGGGGGGAGGATTCATAAAAATATGGTTTGGTCTTTTATATAACCTATATATCATCATTTAAGGTTTATTATGACTCCTCTGTTGCCAATTACTTCCTTACAATTTTTTATTCGTTAAAATTTTAATGTCTTTTAACTGTTGTGTCACAAGGTTAAATATTTTCTATTGATTACAATACATTAAGATGGTGGAGGAGG